AAAAATTATGATTGGTTGAATGCGGTTTGCACGGTCTGAACAAATTGAGTGGTTTGCATTTGATCACTCCCATATATATATATATATATATATATATATATATATATATATATAAAGATATGAATAGATGTTAACATGTGTAATTAACACTATAATTAAACCATCAATAATGCATATTAATTGTTCAAAAAAATAATAATAAGTTTGTATTTTCATGACGTACTTCCATTTTATAATTTGATTAATGTCCAACTTTAAAATTCGTTAGCTAAAAATGAAAAATCGTGTAAAATATTAATGTACTTAATTACTGTAAAATATAATGTAAGCAAAAAAAAAAATAGAGGTTTAACCGGTTTAAAAGGTTACTCATTGTTATAATAGGTAGATATGAAATTAAAATATTATAATAGTTTCCTTTATAAAAATATGTTGTTATTTCATATACTTGCCTCTAGTTTTTATTATAGGTTTTAAAAGTTAGATTGTTTTTACTATTATATCCTCGAATAAGCGATTTGTTTGATAAGTAAATGAAATCGAAAATATGTTACCATTAAATGTTAATTTCAAAAGTAAATGGTCGTTTACTTAAACACTTACCCGGTAAATATTTACGGATAATTCAATATTACCCCTTACTTACCGATTAAGATTTTAGTTCACTAAAACGACATCGTATGTAACAGTTTATCCAGTAAGCATTAACCGTTGTAAGAGTTGTTGCCATCACTTACCAAATAAGACTCTCGGTCCTTCCTTTTGCTCTTATCGGGTAAGATTATTGGTTCTTGTCGTTTTCATCTATCATACTTAAAAGTAATACTTAACCTCTGGAATAAAAATAACAATAAGTTGTAATCCATAGGAACGAAACTGCAATTCGAAACCAAAAAGACTAAAATCGCAATTACTTAATCATGGGGGCAAAAACGTAATTTACTATAATTGTAATTTGGTGTTAAAAGAAAAGATTAAAATTACATTTTGAGTAGGAAATACTCTTGGGCCAATTTTGACTTTTGGTCAACATATGTATTATTGAAGGAGTGGGCATTGATTTATGCCCTCATATATTCATATTCTAAGATATTTTAAATTTACAGCATATATCGCGCGAATGATACTTATTAAAAAAATATATGAAAATAGACGAATCATATGTGATTTTATACTAACATCATATATATTATTCCGGCAACCTAAAGATGCAGTCACAAGACGTTCGGACTCTTTTTTAACCAACAATGTAAAACTTACATATGATTTTATACGTGATTTATTCGTTTTTATGTTCTTTTAAATAGATACGGTTTTCGTTTGATTATATATATATATATATATATATATATGTCCATATGCATTTCCACATGATTTCAATTATTGTGATTATGACTGTATATGCATAAAAGTCAGGGTATTTATAATTTAATTTTTGTAATTTAAAATATTTTTGCATCTTCTGAGATTAAATATATATATTTTTATTTTTGGTATAAAAACAAATGTGGGTACTCTTTATTTTGATTTGTTTTAATGTTCTGATATTATATTTACTAATTTTTTTTTTAATTTTTAAGGTTATAATTGATATAAATGACTAAAATCTTAGAATATATTCTTTATTTTAGAGATTTCTTTAAAATTATATTTAATTTTAATATATTCTTTATTTTAAAGATTTTAGTATTAATTATATTATTAAAATATCTTTTAATTTTATCACGTCACTATTTTTTTTAAATATTATAAAAATAAAAATAATTCAATCTTATTTGTCTTGATGGATCATAAAAACCTACTTTCCAAAGATTTTATAAATGAATTGAGAAAAAATCATTTTTCTCTCCTTATATCAAGTTTTTGAGAATTCTCAAAACTTAGAGTTTCCTAATTATTTTCTTGATTTAAGATAACAATATACAGAATCTGTTGAAGCAAAATAGATAACAAATCTCAATTTTTTTTTATTTTAGAGAATATGTTAAAGATGCTCTCAAAGGTCATTTATATTTGTTAGAAGAACCATTTTGCATAAATTCACATATATATATATATATATATATATATGTGTGTGTGTGTGTGTGTATGTACATGTATGTATGTATGTATGTATGTATGTATGTATGTATGTATGTATGTATGTATGTAGGGGTAAAATCTTTTGTTAACCAAGAATATTGTGTTAACTTTGTGAACTTATTGGACCAATAATATTCATTCTTTAGTAGATGTTACTTCAAAATTTTGATTTAATGATGAAGGGCAAATAGGTAATTTTTATGTGTAAGTTACTTTTATTATATTTAATGAGATATTACAATTTTTTATGTGTAAGTTACTTTTATGGTATTTAATGATATTCATAGGTGTTCAAAAAAATGTGTTCATAATCATAAGGTATTCATAAGAATGTGTTTATAGGTATTCATAAAAATATGTTCATAACCATAAAACATTCATAAGATTGCCTTCACCATATGGTGTTCAAGATCTTTTATTAATCATATGGTGTTCATAACCATAGTGTTCTAGCTGTTTATAGGCCAATCAAAAGGCTTTTATACTTAATGTTCATATCTCTATATGCGGTTAATGTTGAGGGTATGTTAGTAAAAAAAAAATTGGTCTTGATTGAAACATATTTAATTGACGGTTATAAAAAGATTCATATTCCATGATTTTAACCATTTTTCTTTTTGGTCTTGATTGAAACATATTTAATTAACTGTTACAATTAAGAAATTTCATAAAAACATGTTTCATGACAATATAATGAAAGAATGCATGTGTTCATGAGTGAACCATAATATGTTCATAGTTGTAAATTGTGCGTAACTAAACTTGCATAAAGAAATCATTTGTTGACTGTTAACGCAATGATTAATTTTTAATATGCACTTTAACCACAAATAGTGTTCGTTGAAGTGTTCACCGATGAACGACAACTCACTATCTCTATTAAAAGTAATATATTTATTGGTGGACCATGAATACGTTTATCAAAAACCATGCACAATGAGTACATATGAACCATAATATTTGTTTACTCATGAACGATTATTCACACATGAATTGACATAAGTATGTTCATAAAAGCTTGTTGATATAACACTTATATGAATTTAAGCATGTGTTCATAAGTGAACAAGTTGAATCTCATATCATTAAAATATTTTTCCAAAAATACCCTTTGTAAACATTGTTCACTTATGTTAACTTGTCTCCTTGTACAATTAATTAAATTTTATGCCATGAATGATCTCAACCATAAATTTCAAAGATCAATGGATGAGATGGGTTCATAAAGTTAATATCATATATTGGGTTAACAAATGAACTCACCCCTATATATGTATGTGTGTGATAGAGATATATAGACTTTGAATCTTGTAAGATCATCCAATTTTCGTGAAACCACTTCGGAGCCATTGTATGTACCCCTATGTGTGTGTGTGTGTGTGTGTATATATATATATATATATGTATATGTGTGTGTGTGCATGTGCGTGGAGACAGAGACTACGTAAGACGTTCAATGTTTCGTTGGCCTTTCTGTTTCTGAATTTTAGAATTATGACGAGGCTAGGTACAAAGTTTTGACGTCAAAAAGAGAGACGCAAATACTATATAATTTACGAACATCGAGTCAGCAAAATGTACCTAAAATTAACCAAGAATAACGTCATGACAACCACTTGACAAAAAACCAACGAACAAATTTAAATAATTCATATATATACTAAATTCTGAAAATACGAAAACGACATCAAACCTATCGTTTTACATTTTTTTTAATAAAATATGACCGATGATTGCATGCAAAAATAAAAATTAAAAACAAATTCACCGAATTAATATAAAGTACAACTTCTATTACATAAAGTACAACTCGTTATAGCCTGATTTAAAACGTAAAAAAACACCTGAAATAATAACCAAAAAAATTTAATAAAACCTAAATTACCTAAATTGACCTTCCTAGCCTAACCAACCTAACTAAAGTCTTCAAAATCAAATTGGCCCATCAAAATTGTAAACCGGAGCTGGGGTTGGCTACTGAACCGGGTTCAGCTATCTAACTAGAAGCGTTTTGAACTGTCATTATCAAACCCGGTTCAACTTCTGTTTCTTTCTTCTTTCTCATTTCCAACACTTTCCGGTGGCTATTGGAATGAACGTCGCCGGAGAAAGTGGGGCTACAAGCCGGTCTGTATTCTGGAAACAGCCGGCCGGATTTGAACCGGACACCACAAGCGTTGCATAGTGTTTTGGGACCTAATGGACCGGTTCGCCATTGAGGTGTCTTTTGAACTTGACAATGAGTACACCGGCGTTGACTCAGTGACTCACTTGAACCTGGTCCGGTTTCGAAAGCTTGATTTTTCTTCTGTTTCTTGGCCGACGGCGGCTTTTTAAAAAATTCGATCAGCTGAAGCGGGTTTAAGAAAAGCATAGGAGAAGTTATGGACGAGTCATGAGATGATGATGAACTCGAGGACGACTCAGTGAGTGAACGCGAGCCGGCAGACCAGACTCGGCCTGCTTTTCTTTTCCGTTCGCTTCTGCACTTTCTCGGAACAGGATAAGGTAATCCCAAAACCGTGAAGCTTCTAGTGGCAAGCTTAACCACCGGTTCAAACCGGTTCACGGCGTACTCGCCGGCTTCCTCCTTCAAATTCGTTGGAGGGCACAATAGAGGAACCTCCGACACAGAATCATCCACAATTTGTGATAACCATTCAAGGCTTTCCATATCATCAATCTGAAATAAATTAAACCAAAAACAATCATTATTCATAAATGAATTCATCCTCCAACATTTTCGAATTTCTGTAATATTTTCAGACATATTTCCTTACAATAAATTGTAATTATTACCGGAACTGCGAGTTCGTCGGCCGTAAGGGAGACGAGGTCGCCGGTGCTTGAAAAATTGCCGGAATTCATGGAATTACCATCATTATCCTGAGAAGAAACCGAGACAAAATCCTCCTCGGAGGATTCCTCAAACGAGCCATCACCAGAATTACTAAAATCCTTGTCGGAGAGATCCAAGAGATCGTCAACGGAAAATTCATCGGAGGAGACATTAACAACGTTGTTAATTCCGGCCACACACCAAATATCTTCAAACGAAGCTTGTTGGATTGATTTCATGCCAACAATTTCCGAGAGAAAGCTTGATTTCAATGCTCTTGCTTCAATACACTCCATTTTTTCCAACTTTTTAATCTAAAAAAATTTAAGAACCGAGAGATTAATTGCTACGTGAGCGGTACAGAAAAAAAACCCAACAAAGAATTCAAATAAAATTGATATTATATGAATTCAAACATGTATAGATACAATAATTGTGTATGTATAGGCACCTGTATAGAGAGAGAGAGAGAGAGAGAGAGAGGTGGAAGAAGGGGGGAATTGCGTGAAGATTACTGATATGAGGGCTGGTTAATGTGCGAAACTGATGGCGTTGGACTCCATGTTTATTTTCTTTTCCTTTTTTATATTCATTTTTACAAAAAAAAAAATTTAAATTACAAACTCATATACACTTTTAATTATATAATTAAAATACAAAATCTACGCATTCATTTAAAAATCCATAATTATTTAATAATTCATAAAATCATATTAACTTTAAGAATTAGCATATCATATATTATTTCATTTGTTTTTTCCATCTACGATTTGAATTTAATTTATTTATTATCATATATATTTTTTATGTGTTTGTAAAACAAAAAATACAACTAAAAAGTTTCACATTTTATTATCGCATTTCTTTTGAAAGTTTCTTGTAAAAAATAGGTGACAAATTTGAATAAAAATATGAGGGTAGGACCAATTCAAAGAAAGTCAAACATTTGGTAATACAATTCCAATACATAGATATTTCTTCTCTAGTTGACTCTAGACTTCATTTTTAAATATATGGTGTTGATTTTGTATATTTATTTAGAAAAAATAAATGTACGATTTTATTCACTTGATTGTCCAGGTTGTAAGCAGTTGGAATCCATAAGTGAGATCACATGTTCGAATCTGGACACTACTCACACACCCATTTATTTTTATAACGTCGGAGCAACTTCAACAGCTTTTTTAAAATAGAGAAAATAGAGATTTTGAGTCAATATTTTATTTCAACAGGTTTTTTAAAACTATCTCCAAAATAAAAAAAATACGAGAAAGAAAACTTTAAAAATGATTATCAAGTGAAACCACCAATAAAAACTTTAAAAATAAATATCTATAAAGAGAAATAATATTTTAATATTATACTCAATGTTGGATACCCTAAAATAAAGAATTTGTTGGAGATGAATGTAATTTTTTTTAAAGATTTTGACTTTTGTTTCTCCATTTTGGAGAAATTGTAGGGTATATTTTGGAGATGCTCTTAGATTTTTCTCCTCCATGATGGACGTGGGCCCGGTGTGGTCGGGACACTTAGGGCGCGTTTGGTTTGAGGGATTTGGATTTGAAATCCATTCCCATCCTGTTTGGTTTGCTAACAGATCAGGATTTCAAATCCCATGTTGAACTTAAAATCCGGTAAACAAGGGATTTTGAAATCCATAGTAAATGGGCTGGATTTCAAATCCGGGCGACATCTCTTCTTCGACTTTTTCGACTCTTTCAATCTTCATGCCCCCATCTCCATATCCAGAACTCTCGTTTCAATCTTCATGCCCTTCGTCGCCGTTCGTCGCCCTCTCCCTTCGTCGCCATTCGTCGCCGTTCGTCTCCCTCTCCCTTCGTCGTCTCCGTTGCCCACTGCCTTCTCCCATCACTCAACAGGTAAATCCTTTTTCCCCTAATCTGCTTCCTACAGATTAGGTTAAATATACAGATTAGGTTCAATATACAGATTAGGTTGAGGGATTAGGTTGACAGATTAGGTTGAATATACAGATTAGGTTCGATAATTTTGCTGTAGTTCTCGATAATTGTCAATTGAGTAAGGAGACCCAATACTACAAATCCTACAAACCAAACAGAGGATGGATTTTAAATCCAATCCATTCCAAATCCCATGGAATCCAAATCCCTCATGGGAATCCAAATCCCTCAAAAACATTTATTCAAACCAAACGCACCCTTAAGAGGGTGCTTAATATATCCTACAATTGTATGTATGCAAAAACGAATCTAGAACTAAATCCAAACAAAGAATGATAGAATCGAGCAAGGCTGCAACTACTAAAACCTGGTCGAACGTTGATTTGTGAAGGTGCGGACGCTATAACTTGCTTCTGTAAAATTAACATTGGACTTTTTATTGTAGGCATCAAAATAAATCACCCCCGGTCCAAGAACAACTAGTACAATAAAACGTAGATCAATAATTTATTTCAGACAAATGACTGATTAAGAGCAGGCTGGTCCTTCAAAGGACCATGATTTATTTCGCTTGTTAGGACGGACCTAACCAAATTGAACCATTGACCAATTATTATGCATCTCCAGTACTTAATACCCGACATTTTGGACGATTTTTTGTCGGGCTTAAAAAACAGTGCACGTAGTGTAAAGTTACATTCTTTGGAAAATTCTGTTACGTACATATGGATGTAACATGCTTATGGCACTTTATATTTTACATTCTACATAACGTTGTTGCATTATTTTCGGAAAGCATGTGCTGTTTTAACCTTATATCACGTCATTTTTATGTTACATCTATACTATATTATAAAGCAATTGACAAAGACTCTTAAAAACCATTTTTTATGCATGAAGTACTGTATATTGATACATATTACTTAAAATTCAAGAGTACAAGTAAATTATGCATAAGTACTACTTATTAAAGCTCCATTTTTTAAATTTGTGTAACTAACTGCAGATAAACATAATCAAATACGGGATAAATATTCATTTTAAATATAGAAAATCTAAAATATAATTAAGATAATTATTGAGCTCTAACAAAATATTTAATTATTATCTTTACAAAAAATTATACTATTAAATCAAAAATAAATTATTTTGTTATTAAATTATAACAAAAAATTGAATTAAAAAAGTTACATAAAAAAACGAGAACTATTAAATAGTTAATTTGATACTAATATCGATTTGTTTTTTCAATTTTTTATTTTATATTCACCATTATCGTTTTCTCAAAACCACATAAAATTGTATTATATCGATAGAGATAGAATAAAAACTAAACATTAGAATCGAGATTTATCTCGCTGCATTATGCGAGTACTCTTCTAGTATTAAAAAACCACAAACCGATGTAATTTTTATATGTTATTTACAGACTATATGTATCTTTACAGCATTTTTAATTTTATTTTTTAAAACCAAAGAAATATATCATATTTAATTTAAAGATTAAAGAATTTAACTTTAACAATGCAAATGGAAAGAAGGTGAAAACAAAGAAAAGTATTTTATTTAGAATAATAAAATGGCACCTTGTTTGGTTTAAAATTGAAAATAATTAAGGCCGCCTTTTGTTTTTGAAACTTTAATTTGTACAATTTTTTATTATTTAATTTAAATTAATTAAATAAAATATTCCCAATTGTTTCTAAGAAGGTTTGAAAGGATCCATGTTGTCGAATCAAGATTTTTATTTATTTATTTATTATTTAAAAGGATCAAGAACATGATTATAATGGTAAAATATTTTGTGGGATTTTAATTTTGAGGAAATTTTATGATTTTGGTTTTTATTATTTGAAATAAAATTGAATTTTGGTATTTATAGATAATTTTATAAATATAAATTATGAATATAATTATATTACCTTATGTTAATTGATTATTATAAAATAAATGTTTTTAACATAATCTTTTTAATATATTTTAAGATATTGTTACAAACAAATTTTATGAATACCAAGTTACCAACTGTCCAATGGAATTTTTATATCGAATGTTTGTGGGATTACATTGAAATACCGACATTTAAATTTTGGATTTTCTTTTAATCCAAATACATGATTAAAATAAAATCTAATTCCAAATTCTGCAAACCAAGCGGGCGCTAAGGAGGTTTGGTTTGGTGAAATGGTTTCGTGGGATTGGATTTCGTGGAAATTTTTGAAATTGGAACGATTTGAATTTGGAAGGATTTGAAATACGGGTACTCATCCCCCGTCTCCATCCCTAGTTTGAGCCAAACGGGGATTCCCATTCCCAAGACCCGGTTTGACAGGGAATCTCCATCCCCTACTGGGGCAGGTGCACTGGGTTCCCCGACTGGTCGGGGTCAATTCTCATGCCTAATCACTCTTTCTAAAATATTTCACCATCATTTCTAAAAGAAACCCTAAAATGTCTCTTTCTTTTCCCTCGTTCACCACCTTTGATCTGCCAGCCCCCTTGAGTCCCTATGATGTTTTTTTTCGTATTATGTCAACCATAAGAAGAAAAACTAAGAAAGCAAGAGCAAGATTTAGAAAAGAAGACGGAAGATTCAAAGAGAAAGAGAAGAGCCTCAACTCCAAGTTAAAAGCATCGAAAAACGAAGAAGTCCATTAAGGCTGACGTACAATGAATTAGATTAGAAACAATTGCTAAAGGTGTCGAGACTGATTCATGATTGAAATTTAAATCCAGGAAATCATTCAAATCAAACACGTAATTGGAATGAAATCCAATCCAAATTATAGCTTTTTCCACGTCATAATATTCGTCTTAGTCCGGTTAATTTATACGGTTTATGTGAACGCTTCATTCACATGAATTAGACATACTTTTTTCAATTTTTAAAAGGAGAACTTATTCACAAGGGTGGTGCCTGATTGGTTTGAGCTTGGGCTACAAATGTCAAAGTGCCTGCAGGTCTCAAGTTCGAATTCAAGGAGGAATGAAAATCTCATTGTGGTCACGGAGGTTCAAATGTTGTGACTTTGAGTTACCCGCAAAGCAGGCGGTCGACCTGGGATCAGTCGGCTCGCATAGCGGGTTGGATATCCAGGTTAATAAAAAAAAAGAACTTATTCACAAGGAGGATAAGTAGGTATTTCTACGGGCGATAAAACTTATCTTGTTTATGATGCAGAAAAAAGTATTTGTAATTATTATAATTTATTTTCTTTAAACATGTAATATTTTTTCGAATTATATTTAATAAATAGTGTAAACAGCTTTCTTAGAGGATGTATGAAGTTTGTAGCTACAACCATTATAAAAGATGTTCGTACAACAAATTTTCAGTACCTTTAATTTAAGGACGTGGGATATTCTTTTGAGAAATCTCTAAATTATGAGATCTCTGAAAATCAGTGTATTATGTGTTATTTGATATGTTTTTTTTTCTTTTATGGCTATAATTTAATGTAGTGATTAATATATATTTGTTTCAAATGTAATCGGTTCATAACGCAAACCTTTTTGTTGTGTTCGTGAACAAAAAGTACACGTAAAAA